GAGAAACGCGATCAAGGCTCATCTTCTTATTCTAGGCGTGCAACTGCACGCTTTGATTTTTGTTGACAACAACTACAGTATGCGTCGCTTAACATACGTCACGCACTCCGTTGCGCTTATTGGTTGTAGGTCTATCCAATTGAGTGCAGAGGCATTTTTTTTCCTGGTTCGTTCGAAACACGCCCCATAATCACAGCTCTATTCTGACTAGAATTGAGTAGGACTACGTCAGGCTACAACAATCCCGCCACTCGGGAGAATTCAGAAATGCAACGGTTGAAACGTCAATTTCCCTACGATTTCATGGATTTGTAGTCTACATAATGACTAAAACGATTGCTTGATGTGACTCGTCTTACCTGACAGTTTGAAGTTTACAGTATGGACTCTTCAAACCATTGGAAAGCTGCTGCAATCCTGCATCCTGCAGGTTGTTGTAATTCAGACTCAGACAGTTGAGCCTGGAGCACTTTGAGCTAAGAACAGAGGAAAGAGTCTCACAGCTCCTCCGGGTCAGGTCACAGTCAGCTAACCTGGAAAACAAACGCAACGGTCAAATATTTTAGGAATTATGTGAATAATTTCATGTTTTGCTCTGGCGACCGCATGCATCATACCGTAGCGACTTCAGACTCGTCACCCCAGCGGACAAGGCTTTCACTCCTTCATCCTCCAGGTTGTTGTTGCTCAGGTCCAATTCCCTTAAACAACAAGCCTGGGAACTGAGGACTGATGACAAAGCTTCCCAGCTTTTCTCAGAGAGGTTGCAGTCATTCAGGCTGAAAAACAGTCGAGACCAAAACTAATAAAAAGGCCATAGATTACAGAGAGGACGGTTATATCTGATGGTATTATTCCTTCCACCTACAGAGCTTTGTTGGAGGCTTTGACCACCGGTAGCATCATCAGGAGAGTCTCCTCTGAAGCAGAGTATTTCTTTAGCTCAAAGACGTCTAGATCTTCTTTTGATGACAGTAAGATGAAGACCAAAGCTGACCACTGAGCCGAAGACAGTTTTCGTGTGCGGAGACTTCCCGATCTCAGGTACTGCTGGATCTCCTCCACCAGAGAGTGATCGTTCAGCTCATTCAGACAGTGGAACAGATTGATGCTTTTCTCTGCAGACTGGCTGTCGTCGATCTTCTTCTTGATATATTCGGCCGTTTCCTGATTGGTTTGTGAGCTGTTTGTCATTTGAGTCTGCAGGCCCCGAAGAAGCCTTTGATTGGACGGCAGAGAAAGACCCAGGAGGATACGAAGGACTAAGTCCAGGTGACCGTTTGGACTTTGTAAAGCTTTGTCCACAGCAGTCTGGTAAAGTTTCTTAGGATAAGGTTTGTTTTTAAAGACTTTAGATACTCTTTGCGTTCCTTTTTTGTCATCTAGCAGGTTGACTCCAGAGTTAACGAAGGTCAGATGGATGTGGAGAGCAGCCAGGAACTCCTGAACACTCAGATGGATGAAGCAGAACAGCTTTTCTTGGTAAATCCCTCTTTCCTCTTTAAAGACCTGGGTGAAGACTCCGGAATAAACCGTGGCTGTCCTGATATCGATGCCGGAACCTGTCAGATCGGATTCATAGAAGATCAGATTTCCTCTCTGCAACTGGTCAAAAGCCAATTTCCCCAAAGACTCGATCATCTTCTTGCTCTCTGGACTCCAGATTAGATCGGCCTCCGCTCCGCCGTCATACTTCACCTGCTTGACTTTGGTCTGAACGAGCAGGAAGTGGATGTATAATTCAGTCAGGTTCTTGGGCAGCTCTCTTCCCTGCCCTGTTTTTAACACATTTTCTAGAACAGTGGCATTGATCCAGCAGAACACCGGGATGTGGCACATCACCAGGAGGCTTTGGGATGACTGGATGTGGGAGATGACCCTGCTGGCCTGCTTCTGATCCATAAATCTCTTCCTGAAGTACTCCTCCTTCTGTGCATCGGTGAACCCTTTCACATCTGTTACCACGTCGACACACGCAGGCGGGATCTGGTTGGCCGCCGCGGGTCGCGTGGTGATCCAGATGAGAGCGGAGGGAAGCAGCTTTCCCACGATGAGGTTCGTCAGCAGGACATCCATGGAGGTGGACTCCGTCACATCAGTCAGGATCTCGTTGTTGTGGAAGTCCAGAGGAAGCCGACACTCATCCAGGCCGTCGAAGATGAACAGAACCTGGAATTCCTCCAACCTGCAGAGTTTAGCTTGTTTGGATTCGTTAAAGAAACGATGGACCAGTTCAACCAAACTGAACCTTTTGTCTTTCAGCACATTCAGCTCTCTGAAGGTGAAGGGGAAGATGAACTGGATGTCTTGGTTGGTTTTGTTTTGAGCCCAGTCCAGAGTGAACTTCTGGGTTAAGACTGTTTTCCCGATGCCGGCCACGCCTTTGGTCATCACTGTTCTGACGGGCTTCTCCGCATCAGAGGAGGCTTTAAAGATGTCTTCCTGTCTGATCGGCTTTTCTTCGACATGTTGCTTCCTTGACGCCGCTTCAATTTGTCTGATTTCGTGTTCTTGGTTGACCTCTCCCGCCCCCCCCTCTGTGATGTAGAGCTCTGTATAGATCTGGTTCAGGAGGGTTGGATTTCCTGCTTTGGCGAGCCCCTCAAACACACAGCAGAACCTTTGTCTCAAGTTAGATTTTAATTTTTGCGAACATTCAGTCGCACGACTTCCTAAAATTAAAAAAAAAAAGTCAACAAGATTAATCGAACGTCTGTAAAATTTAATTTATAAACAGACAGAATATGGTTCTGTTGCAGACATATTTAACCCATTAAGCCCTAAGGGTCTTACACTGCAAAAATGATCTCAAAATGAGTAAAAAATGTCTTAAATTAAAGGTATTTACCCTTAATTTGAGCAGGTAAATAAGATGATTTGCAAATGGAATTAGTATTTTTACTCTTAAAATAAGTATCTAGATAAAATGCACTTGAAATAAGACAATGCAATTGTTTTTTCTTATTTTAAGTGTAAATTTTCTTGTTCCATTGGCAAAGTGTCTCACTTAAATCCTTAATTCAAGAAAAAATGAAGAAATGACTTATTTAGATTTCATTTTTTTTGCAGTGTAGGAGGAAATTCCGCATGAAATTACATACACTGCAAAAAATATACATCTAAGTTAGTAATTATTTCTTAAAATAAGAGGATTTTTCCTTAAATTGAGCAAGTAAGTGAGACACTTTGCCATTGAAATAAGAAGATTTATATGTAAAATAAATTAAAAAAACAACCGCAGTCTCTTATTTCAAGTGCATATTATCTAATTATCTTATTTTAAGGGTAAAAAAGCTAATTCCATTGGGAAATCATCCTACTTTCCTGCTTAAATTAAGGTTAAATACACTTATTTTAAGACATTTTTACTAATTTGCAGAATGTTCTTGCAGTGTATGTGAATTAAAGCAAGTAAAGCTCCCATATGACAGAAAGGCATTGAGGAATATTTTCCAGGTGGAACCACTATTTTAAATGTCACCATGTCTGATTTATAGGTGATTAAACAAAGAAAAATTTAAAAGAATTTAGCCTCGCCAACATTTTTTCCAACATAAACACTGCAAAATCCCATTAAACTTTGTAGAAATGTGTAGATCCACATCTTGACTATAACTCAAGTATTTTAAATCTCATTTTAGTTGTTTACACTGCTATAAAACAAAAAGTATTTGTGAAAAAAATAATTTGGAAACATGTAGAATTTTTAAAGCCCCATTTTGAAAGGTGTGTGGATGAAACACCATGTGACTGTGTTTTGGCCACTTCTATAAATAGATACCGGGCTTAAGGAGTTGATAAAATATAAACTGTGAAATCAGATGCTCCTACTGTTCCAAAGGCAATCAGCCAGATCATCTTTCCTCATTCTTCTCAGAAACTGCAGAGCAAGTTTGAGAAATGTGTCGCTGCTACGCTTCGCCTGCTCTTCGTCTTCGGTGCTCCTCACGCCTTCCTTCTTCCTCGGACTTTCTGAAGCCTCTGAGGAATCACAGCTCAAAATGGTCTGAAACTTCTGCAGCTCAGCCTTCATGAAAGTCCAAAGGTTTTCCTCAAGGAGCTGGAAACGACAAATGATCAAATGACTTTCATTGACAATACAGAAGTTTAGCAGAAGTTATCTTTAAACTGCAGTTGTATTTTTTTTATTGAGCTTTGCTTAATGGTGCAAATCTGGTGCAAATCTGTAGAGGTCTTTGGGGGAAAGGTGGCGGTAGACCCAGGACAGGTGCTCAGCCAATCACAGGTCAATAAAAAGAAACACAAGACAAATGCACACGTTAAAAATTGGAATACTTAAAATACTTGTCTTTAAATACACTAGGTACGGCACGCCAGTGGAAGTGGTATTTGGGAAGTTTAATGCTCAGCAGTTTCTTATCTTTGAAGCATCAGCAGATTAAAATCAAGAGGTAAATGTTGTTTTTTAAACCTGTTAAACCACCTGCAAAGGTTTAACAAGTTTCCAGGACCCGTGTGACCCTGTTAAACCATCACTATGAAATATTAAACAGGAGCATCGGGCGGAATAAAACCCAAAAGGCGTTAAATAACACCAAACCAAAAACACTGCATAATTGCACCATATATATTAATAGTCGGAACTTTCATATCAATGCACTTTTTTGCAACATGTTTTTTCTCCTACATGGTTTACATTTGACCACTTTTGTTTACTGCTGCCCTTCATGGAAATGTTCATTTACTGTTTGAAAGCTGTACTGAATGAAATTTCTTTTTGTATGCACACTGTGCACTGAAAAAAACGATCTAGAAATAAATGAAAAATTCTTAAATTAACAGTTTTTACCCTTACTTTTCGTAGGTGAATAGGATGAATTGCCAATGAAGTTGGTATCTTGCTCCACTGGCACTGTCCCACTTACCTCCTTTTTAAAAAAAATTACTTGTCTAGATTTCAACGTTTTGCAGTGTGTATAAAAACTGACTATAAAAGTTGTCCAAGTTTGTTTTTATTCCTTTTTAAGATGTAAATTCTTACAAACAGGCAAGGTGTAGCTCCATACATTTCTCATTCCAGTAAGAAACTTAACCTTCATGCATAATTTATCTCAACATAATTAACAGCTGAGCAAAGTTTGGCTGGTCTTTGCCTCTCGGCAGGAAGTCATCCTGCAAACTGGACGTTTCGGACCTTCTCTCCCTGGAAGGATCAACTAAGCCTCAAACTAAGGGATTCAAACCAGAGGTTTGGATCCACTTTTCTCCAAGGGATCGTTTGAGTTTCTCACTGAGCAAGGGATTCATCTGCACCACAGTCTGTTCAAGTAGCGCAGGAAATCTGAGTGGCAGTCAGTGTCTCCGTTCTCCTACAAACAACTGCATTCTGGGTAAACCCTTTCCGCCCTCCTCCGAATGAGACAAAGACTGGAACTCCCCACACCGACTGGAGTCTAAGATTCAACCACTTTTCTGGAAACGTGAGTCTGCAAACCATTTCTCCTCTTCAAGTTCGAGAATCAATTTTCCCACTGAACCTGAACTAACCGCAGTGTCTTCCCCTCACCTTTCAGTTCAGGTTGAGCAGTGTTCAGAGCAACACTGGAATCTCCACAAGCTTCTCAATAAACCTGTTAAACTTTTTCCCTGGTCTCTCTGTAATGGTTTCTCTGCATGTGGGTCTGATCTTTAGCTAAATCCTAACAAATTTAGTATCTCTTTATTTAAACAAACACATGTTGAAATATAGATCTGTTTTGGGAAATCACGATATTTTACATATAAGAGAAAGGAAACTTTTTCTTCACTGAGTTAATTGCTGAGGTACAGTTATGGCAAACCAGTTGCTTCAGGAGTTTCTTTCATTGCAGACATAATAGATTAATGTGTAAAATCTGTGCTGATGAAGATTCTTAGTTATCCAGGTAGTAGTCATTCCAAAAAAAATAAAAATCCACTGGATCCACACTGGAAAAACGATCTAGAAATAAGGAAACATTTCTTAAATTAAGTGTCTTTACTCTTAATTTAAGTAGGTAAAGGAGATAGTTT